CAATAATCTATGGCCTTTTACAAGGCTTCATTAAAGAAAAGCAAAGTTAATATCACTTGATCTCAAAGATGACAGATCTTTGAATATTATATCCATCTTTATGTTAGTAAGGACATGCATATTACTGTATTAACTTTATTCTTTAACAATTAATCCATCAAAGCAATATGTTTCTTTCACTTTTTGGAAGTCTTAACTGCAAAAAAAATAAAAAATGCAGTTGATAGAGTCCGTAGAAGAAAAGAGGAGCAATGTTTCTGGGATCAGCATTAGAACTATAGTGTATTGTTAATGTACAAGACTCCCGAATTCATGAAAGGAAGACCAGCAGTAAATAAAAGATTAAAAGACTCAAACATAATGAAGTGTTAGTAGAAGTAAAAGTGTAGGAATTTTTCAAAGGACAGACACTATTACATTAGAATCAGAAGCATAAATTATTTTTTTAAATGAATGCATTTTCAAAGGAAGATTTTGCCCTCATATATTAAAGTAAAATGAATTCTGTTCATGAGCAGCAGGGATGCCATGATACCCCATAAAAATATGGATTTGGTGGGAAAGAATATGAAATGGGATCCTATTTCATAGAAATCTAAATGAGAAGTTTTTTTATTTATGTCTTTGAAAAATTACTCACAGTATCATAGTTATCTAGATACAAAACATTTTTTCTTTAAATTTCTAGTTTTTAAGCAAAAATTGTAATCTTTCTCATAATTTTAATTTTTTTAGGATCATGCACATATAAATCTTATCTGACTTGGCAAAATACTTAGCTGAAAGAACTGTTATTGACTATGAAATATATAGTCAGCACATGACAAAAACAAATTAGGAAGTCATAATATAATTTACAAGCATGAGCAATTAAGACTTGTGAGACAAGTTATATGAAGAAAACGAGAAACACTATTATGGAAATAATGGATTTAAATTATGACACACTAATAATGAGATCGTTCAATTTGGAATCTTAAATGATTCAGTCTGTTAAATTCTAAATGCAATTTCTGAACTTTGACTATCACTGAATTATTTTTACTGCTTTATTTTTGTGACCTCTTTATTGTAAGCCATTAATTTTATATTAAAATGTGAAGTGATTATAACAACATGTAGCAGGGCAGACAGCAAGGTAAATGATGTTGAGAAATCAAATAAAGTTTAACTGGCTTTTGAGTCTATTAGGAGAATCTTACTTTTAGAAAAGGAGCCTGTCGGAGTGTATACTTGCGTATATTAGCTATGCTGTAAGACTTCAGGTAGAAAAAAACAGTGTGACCACAACTCCAGTTCCTCTGCAGAAGCCTTCTTATGAAGTGCAGTGCCACCAGACAATATAGTCCTAGGTAGTTCCTCTCAGTGCCTGATGGCCAATACTGTCTGTGGCTAAGTAGAGTGAGACTGAACCTTCTAAACTTATTTACATGTGAATAATATTGTAACTACAGAACACCTTCTCCATTATATGCCTGTCTCAGTAAGATCTGTTTGTTTTTTATCATTTTTGGCCAAACTCAAGACTTACGGGAAAAAATCAAGACATTAATTTCCCAAGAGGCAATCTCAGACTGTTCTGAATCAAAACTGATTGGAGAGGGGCAAGGAGGAGGAAATTTCAGTTGAGGTAACCTAGCCATCAGGAACCTCCAGTCTTCTTGCCTTTAGCGCTAAGGAGAGCATACACAGAAACCAAGGTCCCCAAACTGATCACATGTTAGACCTGAATACCAGTCCATCCCACCCCATCACTCTTCTGGTGCATTCTTAGGGCAGACTGCCTAGCACTAGGAATCAAGTTAGAAGTTTTGCATAAAACTTTCTGGACCTCTTGAATGCCTTCCATCTTGTGCATACAGTCCTCCCTCCTCTACCTACTGTGGCATCTCATCAACTAGTTTAACTTACAGATTACACTGATAGCAAAGTAACTTTCCTGAAATGTTTAAATTGCTTGTTTGCTGTTGGCCTTCGTATTGAGGGAGGTGGAGGACTACAGTTTCTTTTTGTAGAAGAAAAGCAGGGAATACCACAAAGGCCAAAGTAGATGAGTAACAGAAGAAAACATCCACCTCTCTTTTGTGGTTCTTAGTTGCTTTGTTTTGTTGGGTTTTGTTTTGGGTTTTTTTGTAACTCTTCTTTGACTTTTAAAGGCAAAAGAGTTAGGAACTACAACCTGTGGAACGCTTGAGCATTTCCTCAGTAATTGAGATGACTCCCTTTCCTGGTTGATAGCATGATAATATGCTGAACTTTTGGAATTACTGGATTTATTGAGTTTGAGAGATTCAGCTGCTTGCATTCTTGACAGACAACTCATCTGATCAAGAGAACAGCAAAGTAACTAGAATACATTCTTGAGAAGATGCTATGAAGAGGTGAGGATCATATCTATGTTTCTTAGGACTTCTCAAGGTCAAGCTTTTCTAGAAAGAAAAGGTTTGGGTAAGCCAATAAAAGTCCTCATGAGCTGGAAAAAGGTGGTGGTAGTAGTGGTTGATTCTGGTAGGGAGCGGGAGATAGGAATAGAAATTGTTTGTCAGACAACATCAGAATAAGGGATGGGCTTTATATCTAGACTGCATTCTACATTACTTATTCCAGGTGTTTGGACTATTTTTCCTTCTGTTCAGTGCTATCTTTGCAGTATAATTATGAGTAATCTAAGTTAAAAAAAAAAGAATTAGAAAATCAAAATATGCTGAAGTGAGTTTAGGAGCTTCTGTATTGCTGAAATTGCCCTGTGAAAGATCTGCTGTTTATTTCAGTAATATAACAATTTTTTTCAATTTATTGCCAACTTCTTCCATGTATTTGACAGTTTAATATTTTGTGACAGTTAGAGCTTTACTTCATGCAAATGTACTTTGATTTCAGGCATTCTGAACAAATTTATTGTAGGTCTGTCTCGCACCGATAATGAAAGAAGATAGCAAGAGATACATAATCAGTAACAATTTTGACAGTTTTCTGCCAAGTCACACTATGTGGCTTCAGCTGAGAAATGAAAAATAATTCTGTTTAACATCTCCCTATAGAGTCTAGAGAGAATTCTATGAATTTCAGTCCTGACATTTAAATCCTGTGTACAGTATCTGAATCATGAGAAGCTCACACCATCCTGTCATGCATCACTTGTTACTGACCTTCCTTGACCTTATTAAAAAAATTCTAACAAAGGAAATGAGCATCCATAGTCGCTTCACCGTGAAAAGGTATTATTTCATATGAATAGCCCCATTCCAAACCCTGAAGTTTAATGAAGTAGCTAGTATGAGTTTAATAAGTTCATTATAAAAGAATAGTATTTTGAGATAGAGAATTCACAAATTGTTATACAGCTATCTTTATATTCAGAAGGCTGCAACAAGAGAAGGCATGCAGCACCAGATGTACAAATTAGACAACAGTAGAAAGTTAATGGAAAAAACTGAAAGAGAAGAAAGGGGCAGATGACCTCATTGCTCACACAGGCTCTTCACAGTGGTACTTGATGGGTATAAGAGAGCCTAAGTTGAAACATAAGAGGATCGGTCTGGGTATAAGAAAAACATATTTTTTAGGAAAAGCATTTTTCAAGAAAATAATTTTTCAACCTGAGGATGGTCAAAGGTGGAACAGGTTACCCAGAGAGGCTGAACAGTCTCCATGCTTGGAGGTTTTCAAGGTGTTACTGAATAAAGCCCTGAGCAACCTGGTCTAATCTCATCACTGACCCTGTTTGGAGCAATACGTTGAAATAGAGACCTCCTACAGCCCCTTGACACCAGAATTATTCTAGCATCCTACAGTCATACAGTAATTGGTACCCAACAGCTGATAAAAAGAAAAAGCTCTAATAAAGTAACTGCAAAAAGGAAAAAATATTGCCAGATGGGAAGATAGGTAATAGAGCCCTTACTTCAGTAGGTCTTTCTCCACTTCTTCCAACCATATAAGGGGACAAGGAGGTTCAAAGTTAGGAACAGGAAAGATGGCAGTCTACAGTCTGTGTAGTAGCTCTGGAATAGGTGATGGGGCTAAAGTGGGGAGACTGTCAAGCTAATTTAGACAATTATGGCCAAGAAAGATCATGTATATCAAGGATAATCTAGAATGCTTCTTTCCTTATGTTGTATTTTGCTTTTGTGACTCTTTGTTTTAGCAAAATCTTATTTTTAATCTTGACAGAATTCAGTGAGCATACGCTTTTATATTTAAATCTCATCACACCAAAAAATCTGAGTCACCTGTCATACAGAGGATACAGCCTTTCCTGGAAAGGCAGACGTAATTGAGATGCACTGCAAAGAAATGTTCATGCTACCTATATTCAGGGCTCCTCCTGAGTCTTCAGGTTGCCTCCATACTAGGCTGCAAGTGGCTTTTTGTAACATTAACACTGGTTAGCCCAGCGCCCTTGGTTTGTCTGAAGATAACCTGAAACTGCTTTGGTGAGCAGCAGGAAAGTAGAAAATGGCTTCAGACTTGAGGGGTGCAGGACAGAAAGGAAAGTTATCATTTTCAACTTGTCACACTAACATAAAACATATTTAAGGTTGTCTACCCAATACTTTTTCAGGTTTTTTAATTCTCTTATCTTATAAATATGAAAGGCTGAGTTTCATTCCTAAGACTACATCTTTTTTTCCCCTTTGTATTCAAAACAGCAATAAGAGTTAATATTTATTAAACTCTTTATTAAACTCTTTAATATTTATTAAAGAGTTAATATTTATAGTAGGAGTTAATAGTTATTAGCTCTTTTGAAGTTCACGGCTAGATGGTGATGATAATGATGCTGGAGGGGATGGGGAAGGAACTATTAGTTTCACTTTAACTAAAAGTGAAATAGGTAAAAATATTATATAAAATGTCAGTACTGAGGATATTAGTAAAGATCTGTGCAGATATGTATAAATACTAAAATAATTTCTGATTTCAGGAAAAAAATGGAGTTGAATGTACGATCGCAGAAAATAACATTTTTATCTTATACAACTTTGTTTCTCTTTTAGTGGCAAAGCATTACTATAACACTGGTTGAGAAAGTGCAGATGGTTGCTGTAATCCTAGGATCTCTGTTCTTAGTAGCAAGTGTGACTTGGCTTCTATGGTCAGCCTTCAGCCCTTATGCAGTATGGCAAAGAAAGGACATCCTTTTTCAAATCTGCTATGGAATGTATGGTTTTATGGATCTAGTATGCATAGGTAAGCTCAAAATCTTTAAACAGCACAGACTGTGGTTTAAGACTGTGACTATACATATTTTCCTAATTGGTCACTCTAATCAATCACTCCAGTTCTTTGCAGAGTTATTCTCAACTGATACCTTTGGCATATACTGCTTTCACACTGTTACAAATACTGCAAAGAGAAAAGAACCAAAGAAATGTTACTTTCAGATTCATCAAAGTGTCTCCCCAAAATCTTAGTGGTGAGAACAGGATCAGTATCGATTTCTTGAAAACAAGAGAAGTCTAGCAAAGTTCAGGAAGTTAAACAGATGAAAATAACAAAGACATTAGTAAAATAATTAGTAAAGTTACATGCTGTCAAGTCTTCTACTGATGACACTTTGCATTCGATTGTACCATCATGAGGCGCAGAAGAAGCCCTTGAGAATGCCATCAAACTACACATTCAAAATTAAGTTGCACAGACTTATGTAGGTCACTGTGCTAGTAACAGAAGAGAACAGAAATGACAGACATGAGTTCTTTGTACATAATAGTTACAAAACACTCTAGTAGTGCTAACTACAGTAACTTTCTATACTATTAAAAAGTCTGATGTCATTTAGCTGAAATCTTATAGAAGAAAATGCAATTTATTGCAAAGCTATTTTGCCCAGTTTTGAAATTTCTGAAAATATACTGGACACAGAAATATTAAATAGGAATCTCTTTAGTATTTGATAAAATAACCTATTACAATATAGCTATTGTTAGAATAGCTAACGATTATTTGCAGAGAAAATTTAATAATTGCAGTAAACATTAAACCACACTCTAAGAATTGCAATTCCACAAAAATCCAGAATTCAATTGCTATCTGTCATTTGCTTTGAGATTTCTGAGTGATAAATGTTGATGCTATTCCAACCTCATGTGTGCGAATTCTGCTCAATAAGGTGCAAAGAAACAGAGTGATTCCTAATATCAACCATAGCTGTATCATCTATTATTGAAACCATCCCATTACTGTACATCTATTTGTATTTCAGCTGGATCAGCACTTCTGTCTATGTTGTAATTTTTCGAAGACAAGCCCACTCTGGAATATTTTTTGAACACAGGCTTTCTATGAACCCACAATTTTTCAGACAGAAAAATGAACAGAGGTCTCTCATACTCTGGACAAGTGCTCAACTTTTAAATGAAAAAAAACCAAGGACTTAGCTACATGTCCTCTTACATGCTGATTCCTGAAAAACCACTTTTTCTGGCTTAATATTCAACAGGGAGGTTTTTACTTTTGTTTAAAAAAACACTAAGTGAAGACAAAACATACTTCCGGCATTCTAAACTTTTCATTTATATGGAATTCTGGTTTTTTTCAAACAATTGTAAAAAAATTACTTTGACATACATCAACTAATTGGAATAAGCATTTTTTTCAGAGTATTTTCATTTATTTCCATTTGTTTGACCGTTAAAACACCTATATCAAATTAATCTCAAAATAAATCAAGAACATTTGAGGGTGAACAGAAATATTAGTGTATTTATCTGTAGAAGTAAACTATTATAAGGTGAGCCTTCAGTAGATTGGTACATGCAGTTATGTAGCTGCCTTTCAAGTCAGCCAGGCTCAGGCCACCTCTGGACAGAAGCCACTGAACCACCATGTACCTCCTGTGGCTGAGAAGCTTCTGGCCTAACTGGCACCATGCAGGAGCAAAGTAGACATGCAAATGTATTCACCCACCAGATAAACTCATTTGCCTGTAATTACATAAATACACATTTTATAGTCCTATCATAACTAATACATGGAAAATTTTATATAAAACTGAATATAATTAAACATATTTGGACACTGTTTTGTAATTAGAAAGTTCAATGCACATGTGACTTAAGAGTTTAATAAAATATATCTGGAAATTCAGAAAGCTGTATAAAGGAGGTTTGGTAATTGTAGAATTCTGACAATCCAGAGTCATTCAGCCCATTTATTCTGCATATAATTTCAAGTAATCTGCATTTTGTAAACTTGTAAGAAAAGGAGTCCTTGTAACTCTTCAAAATATTTATTAATATATTCAACTTCATTCAGTCTTTTTCTTTCATCATAAAGTGAGTGATTTTTAGATTGATAGTTTAAATTTAAAACATTCTAATAAAGTTCTCTAATAGATGTATGTAATTATTACTCATGAATGATTTTAAAAAACCCCAACACTGTCCATAATGCTGATGACTTCCCAAATGCCATGATATTGATTTGCTATGCTACATATGATTTTACCATTGCATATTAATCTAAATAATCTCTTGTATCTCAAAGCTTGTAATGTTACTGTCAGCCACAGTTCTCATTTAGTATTTCTTCTCATCTCATTTCTGTTTAGTCATCCATGGCATCTATCTTTAGAATGAAAATCCACACTCCCACTAGAATCTCTCTTTATTTCAATTTAAAAATCTATGCAGACATGGGTTTTCCTGTGCAACACATATTTCAAGACAAGTGCTTGAGTTACTGGTGACATGACCAAGATTTATTCCAGCTACCTTCAGTTATGACGCCCTATAGCTTTGCATAAACAATATAAATATTTTTGGTCATTTCTGAAGTACTGAATATCTGTACTTTTTGAAATGTTTTGTTGTGATAATTTTTAAAACTTGCACATATTAATTCATTTTCCCAGTGAGTGATTTATAAACCTTAGGTAGCACAACACCCACTTTCTTATCAAGTAAAGTACTTGTAACTTGTATTTTAATTCTTGGACTTGATTATATTTTCACGAAAAGAAATATCCCAAAGATTACAGACCACCAATATAATATGTTCTATTGATTCCAGTGTACCTATTTTATTGGTATCCATTCTTTTTCTTGTTTCACTCTACATTTTTCTAGAATTCTAATTTCTTCTAACAGGATCATCCTTTTTACTTATCAGTATTAGTTTCAATCCTACAAGTCACTGTTTTGTACATTTCTGCATCTAAACTGGATGTAAAGCTGTTCGGTCTGAAACCTGCTGCTGGTACAAGTATTCCTAACTCAAACCTTGAACATTTTAATGAAGTAGAACTACTGTCTGTGAAACCCAGAGCTACTGCAGTGATAGTGCTAAGACCATCTCTGTAGGGACTGCCAAAGAGAATGAGTTCCTAAGTTAATATGAAAGGAAAGAATTAATAAAACCCCTATTTAGCCACTGAAGGACAGTACACCAAGTCTTTGCCATTCTGCTTTGTAGACCTAGCAATTATTTCTTGTAACAGTGAAGTCATATAATTTTATATGTTTTCACTGGAACATAATCAAATCTACTAGTCATAAATGGTTCTAACATGAACAAAACCTCTCGCAAATAATAACAGGTCACTTGCGATCCTAGAACAACAGTGCAGCTTCTGAAGACCATGAAAAACAACTGTAACATTGCAGTAGAAACTTGAGTGGTGCCAGTACTATGGCAATGGAGTAAGAGATGGGAGCCAATGTGAGGTGTGAATAGCCCTCTGAAAGCCACTTTCTTCCCCACCAAGAAACTTGACGCCTAGCAACATTCATGTCACTCCCTTAGTTGTAAAATTGTAGAGGCCGAAGATATTTATAATGAACATATCTAGCTGCATTTAATATTTCTCTACACAGAAAGTCAGTCTTTCACTAATTCTAAGTAGTTAAGAGAGAGTTTTATTGCTGTTTCTAGAGGGGACATGTTTAACTTCAATGCTTTAAGCATTTTATTGCATTTTTTGTGTGTCTGTGGATGTTAGAATAGGATTAAGAGATAGCATTTTGTCCAGTGGTAAAGTCTGTTTCTGAAAAGGATCTTTTATTCCTTGGTAAAAGTTTCTGATGTTTCTGGGAGGACCATTTCTAAATGATTATAAGTAAGACTAGTGTGATAAATAAGACAACATTGGTACCTAATGCCACATCTCAACCAAGAGAAGTTGCCTTCTTGTAAAGAAGCTGAGTATAAAAAATTTCAAATTTTCTTTTGACTCAGGGTAAGAAATCTTTTGAATAGAATGAAATAATCTCCTCGTATTTGGCAATAAAAGAAAATAAAATCATGATCTCCCCATAAACCTATTGTCTGAATCCCTCTACAATTGCTACATCTTGCAAATAAATCCCAAGGGTAAAGTCTTCTTAGAGCCTTTAGGACATTTGGCCAGGTCCATCATCCCAAAACTCTGATCCTTGTAGCTATTTGGACAGAACATTGGAACAGCTAACGGTAGTGAATTCTAACACTTCCGCTTGGGATCATCTTGGTCAAACAAGTAATTTTTTTTCCTTGAGACTATGCAACTATGTCCTCTATGCTGTTGAAACCACAGTATTTGGAACAAGTCAATATTATTAATGGATTTATCCTTGTTTTCTTTCTCATATCCTCATTTATTGCTGTGGAACTCCTAAGAAAAAGATTTTTGCCATTTTCTTACAGCTTCACTTTAGTGACTTACTATGTATATTTTGAGCAACAGAACTTCTTTGGAACCGGAAAACTTTACCCAGATTTTCCCTTATTTGTGGTCTTGGAACTGTTGGTGCTGAGAACACTTTTTCCCCTGGCCCCTGGAAAATATCCTTCAAGGACACAAAATAATCTATTGAAGTTCTTTTGCCTCTTCTACATAGGTCTTTTTCAATCTGTAGTTTTATCAGATGGGAACTAAAGCTTTTTATGGGAGGAATTATGAAAGTACTCATTTTCTTCTTCAGTATTGCCATGCATGACAACTTTATTTCAAGCTTTGCAATATTTGATCCTTTGTTCCTTAGGTCTTTTAGAGCATATCTGAATAGCAACTTTCATTTTAAAGAAAACTACTCTTCCTTGCTCTTGCTGAGAAAACTTTGAAAACATAATTTCAGTAAATCCTGAAAGCTCAAAAACCATAAAAAAAGATCTTCTTAGAAGAAGAAGTCATATGAATTTTTCTGTCATAATTTTGGGAAGATACTATTGACTGTTTAAATGTACTTCATGTACCTCAATGGTCCTTTCTCAACTGCTTCCTTCTTTATTCTGAAATGTGTTGTTCAGGTCCCAGTGGAGAGCAGACAGGTATCAAAAATCTTTACATTGAGGTAAATAGTTTCTCTCAGTTTTGCTTCATCACAGTCTTGAGGGAAATTAGGCCAAAGACTACTATGATCCAGTTAGAGCAGAGAGAAAATTATGCTCATCTCCCTTATCATTCTAGAGGAAATCCAACAGACAAAAAAAAAAGGAGAGGGAATCTTTGTCATAGCAGTAAAGCCATGGCCTATTTGATTTGTAGTTTTTGTATGTGATCAAACAGGTTTGTCTTTTTGAAGACAATATAGGCAGTCTTGAAGGTGCATTTATGCATTAACATGGCTGTTAACTTTTTAGGACAGGTTGCTTTATATATATATCTGAGAAGATGAAGATTGACATCTTGCAATCAAGAAAATTTTCCACTAAAATGCTATGCTGCTACAAAATGCATTTAGAATATTTAACATCTGGTTAAGTTTATATTGTGTTAGTTTTCCTGTATTGGATGCTTCAGTGAACTCTAGGCAACTTGAAATCCTTACAGAGGTGCTACTTTTGCTATCATGTCCTTCTGAAAGCAATCTTTATGTTTCTCCATCTTTCACTGTATTGATCTTCCAAATGCATTAGAGTAGGCATTGCTATCTGCAAATCACTGCACTTGAATCTGAGATTTGCTGTTCATATAAGTGTTTTTATCATCCTTTTTTGTTTGTGTCATCTTTCTTTGAATGTCTCTGGTATCAGTTAACTCTGCTAAGAGACCTCAGATACTTAAATCACAATTTCTTTGTTTAGGAACAGGTGATATACAGTCTCTGGGATAAAGGACTATAAGCTGTGACACTGCAGATCATATTGTAGATGTTACCATGTATAGGAAAATTATAGGCAAGAAACATACAGGACAAAAAAAATTATTAATGTGTTTCTCTAGGCAGATTACTCTTCTTCCAAAGCAAGGAGTCAGTGGAAACGTGATATTGCTCAGAATCATGTAAGTTACTAGGCTGGTTGAGGAACAGAGGAAAAACCTAATAAGAAGGTTGAAGCCCCATGCAAACCCATATTTGAAATACCTGCACATAAAGAGTGCATACACATATCTGCATACATACAAAAAATGAAATGTAATTTAGGTAACTAAATTGCTTGCATGCGTACAAGAAACATAAATGTGAGCTAGGTGGAAGCTCATAAGCAGATTGGTCTGTTGAGGACTCTAGTTACTTTGAATTTTCCTTGAAGGACCTTTTAAAAGATTTCCTGAGTTTCAACAAAAACCATGGTTCTGAACTTTTCTCTACTTAATTTTGAAGAGACAGATGAAAGCCTGTATCATCCTTACCATTCTCATAATAGGTGTTAATAACAGTTAATTTCTGCTTGCTCTACTGAAGCAAGTCAGGGAAGTCATTATACTTACAGCTGTTTCAGGTTTTCATAAACCTACTGTGCTCCTAAATTGAACTAAGAATATGAAAACAGTTAAATTTTTTGTATCTGTACAAGACATACTTAACCAAATTCAAGACCATCCTGTTCATTACAGATGGTCTAACTTAAAGATCTACTTAAACTAGTACAAATCTCAGTAAATAGCACTTACCATGAACAAGGATAACACTAGCATAGATAGTCAATTTACAAATCTGCCAGTAAGGCTCTTTTTTATTGGTTTCCTTAAACCTAAATACTTTGTTTAGTTAGGCATGCTCAGATTATTCCAGTATTGTTTACATTGAACTTTTATTCAGAGCAATTTTATTTCCTCTACATGTTCCCGCCTCCCAGTATTAAACACATGAGTAACCAGTCACATTCCATATGCACAATTTATTTGAATAATGAGAGTTACAAGTAATTTAATAGGCTCTGGCATTTGCCAGATTCATTACAATGTGTTACATCTGTATTTGCTCTCAAAATGACATCCAATTACATTTTTTACAAACTGATCTTTTTTTTCTTAATTTCAGGGCTGATAGTACATGAAGGTGCATCTGTTTATCGAGTGTTTAAGCGCTGGAGGGCCGTGAACCTACACTGGGATGTGTTAAATTATGATAAAGCCACAGACATAGAAGAGAGCAATCGCGGAGAACCCTCAGCGGGAAGGACATTGTGGTTACCGCTGACTGCATTTAGAAACAGAAGTTTAGTTCATCCAACACAGCTAACCTCACCAAGGTTTCAGTGTGGCTACGTATTGTTACATCTGTTCAACCGCATGAGACCTCAGGAAGATTCATCAGAAGACAACGGCTCTGGGGAGGTAGTGATGAGAGTGACCTCAGTGTAAAGATTACGCTCACTGTGCTGCACACATAAGGATAACGTGCCCTGATGTTTCAGGGCTTTGGAATGTAGTTACAATGAATGGTGAAATGATTAACACTTGAAAAAATATATACACATTTTTTAAAAAACGTAATGCTTTTTATATGATCAGCTAAAACACAAATACATTTTTCTGGAAAAAAAAAAGTCTCTTGCTTTTTATATAGTCTGGTTTATTAGATCTTTTGTCAATTTGTACCTAAGATGTATGCATTATAGTTTAATTCTTAGGTATTTGAATGATAAGGAAACTAATTTTTAAGTAAAAAAAATATATTTAAATGTATTTTCTTAAACTCTGGCTTTAATTCACTACTGTTATTTTTCCCACTTTCTTGAGGATTAAACTGAACAGTCTTCTTCCAAAAGAAAACGAATGTTGACACAAATCATATATCCTTCCTTTTCTGTCTTTATTTTGTGGTTGGTTGTAGCTCAGTTCAGGTGTGTGAAAGTAAGAAAGAAATTTATTGTCCTTGGCCTTTAAGCAGAAGTCCAGTGGTGTTCTACAAAGCATGAGGAGAGGTGCCAACTCTTCTTTTAGTTCTCCCACGTGGACATGCAAGATGTCACACAAGTATGACACAGGCAGGGGAAGAGTTTTGCACTTCCTCTTGAGTCTCTATGGTCTGCAGACTGCTGAGGTTGTGTCTGTGCACAGAAATGACATTACCTTCTGAGCAGTGGTGCTGAATTTAGCAGCCTGTGAATTTCTAGCACCATTCTAACTATAGGACATTGACATCTCATATATTTTTTAAAAAAACCCAAGAAATGTACTTTACAACTTCTGGAATAATAACAAATCCTAATGGAAACTGAAGAGAAAATAATGCAGAGCCTAATTTTGCCAGGTAATGAATCATCATATTAAAAAAGAGCTAATATTCATCTTTATCATGACAGCTAATCAATGCCATGAAGTTTGCTTCTCTGTTTTTGTCTCATTGCAAAAATTCTAACATCATTTAATCAAACAAATGGAAATAATTTCCAAGTTAATAATTACATCTCTTGAAGAGCAAGATGAAAAAGTAGGGCTGAAGTGACTCTCAGAATGCTAGCTTACTGAAAACAGTTTGGGGTGAGTTGACTTTGGCTGGCTGTCGGATTCCCACCCAGCTGCTCTCTCCCCCTTCTCAGCAGCACAAGGGGAGAAAATAAGATGTAAAAGCTCGTGGGCCGAGACAAAGACAAGGGCATCACTGACCAGTTATTGTCACAGGCAAAGCAGACACAAGTTGTGGAAAATTAATTTAATTTATTGCTAATTAAAATAGAGTTGGATGGTGAGAAACAAAACCACAACCTAAAACACCATCTCCCACTCATCTCCTTCTTCCCAGGCTTAGCTTTACCCCTTCACTCCCAACTATTCTTCCTTTCTCCCCCAAGCAATGCAGGGGAATGGGGAATGGGTGGCTGCAGTCGGTCCATAGCAGCTCTCTGCCACTCCTTCCTCCTCACGCTTTTTCCCGCTCCAACATGGGGCCTTCCCATGAGCTGTAGTCCTTCAAGATAAACCTGCTTCCCTCGTGGGCTCTCCACAGGCCACAGTTCATTCAGGTCATGTCCACCTGCTGCGGTGTGAGGTCCTCCAGGGGCTCCAACGTGGTCCTCTGCAGGGGCTGCAGGAAATGCCTGCTCCAGTAGAGTCTCTCCAGGGGTCACAGGGGAATCTCTGCTTGGGACCAGCCCCGGCCTCTCCTCACAGAGGCCGTCTTGCAGCCCAGCCCTTGCCTCGCTGCCAGCACCTGCACACCTGCACCCCGTACAGACTTAAAACATTTCTCTGTTTCAAAATAAGTTGTAATCAGCGGATGAAAAATTTTATCGTTATTTTGAGCAGCAGTTGGAGTACTGTGTCTGAAAAATTCCCTTTCAGGCTCAACAGGATGATGCTGGAATCAGTGTATTCCTTCCCTATATAAGAAGCTTGTGTGCCAAAACACAAGAGGCTTCTGTAACTACATTTGGAAGAGAGATAGAAATAATTTAGGCATTGCAGCTAAAAGCTCCTTTCGTATTCATAAATATTTCGGTAATGAACTCTACACAGGGTCCAGCATTCTGCTTTACAGGCTCACAAGCTCAAATTGACACTTACTAAATCTACAGATTACTTACTGCTCTTTAAACATTTAAAGTGAGAAGAAGTACCTAAGCCATGAACCACAAAATGGTATCTCAAAAAAAGTCAGTTTATCTCCTGCATGGCAAATTACCACCATATGACTGGCAATCTCATTGACAGACTATGAGAGTTCACTTCTAGATTATCTTTAAACAATTTCTCAAAGAGGCAGTTTGTGGAGAAACAGAGGATGAGAGAAAGCATGACTGAGGAAACCTGCTGTGTCTCTGGGAATTGCGTGTCCTTAATTACTATTTAAATAAAGCCGGCTTTCCCAGAAGGACCACAATTCCATGTGACCAAATTGAAAACAGAGTTAGTATCTCAAAAAGGCACTTGAAATACAGGGAGAATAAGACATTCTGTGATCAATATACTTAAAAGGTTATGTCTCACACCTTTTAGGTACTTCTGATCCCTAGGATTTCAAGAAAATTTCAGTGGTCTTTTTACAGCATCCTGAAAACAACATTGAGAACTAAATTAAAACATTTTGTTGTAAAGAAATCTTTTTCAATTACAGCAAAATAATTCGGGTGATGGGAAAAAGTGACTCACCAGAAAAGATCAATAGATGTAGTTTAAAAGAGAACAGGACTTCTGTGTACAAATATTTGAAAGACACCTGAGTCTGAGAGAAACAGCTTCTGAGGGGAAAAAAGGGTCCAGTTAAGAGTAATGAATAATGGTAGTGAGAGAAATGTTTTGGACAAATATCAGAAAAAAAATCTTTGTAATAGTAGGATTAGTCATCATTAATAATTTCTAGGGCACAATAATTTTGCATATGTATTTCTATATGTAGAAAGCAAGATCAGGAAATGATAAACATTGACAGGATTAGTATGGGCAAGGTGCAGTTGGGAAAAAACAGTGAAGTCTCTGGCTGTACTCTACTGCGGAATATTTTCAGTAGCAAGAGTGCCTAGTGCAGGATATGAATATTTCTTCATTGACCTTGTATTTGGATTTGTGCAGTACTGCAGTGCTGTGATCACCTACATGCAAGATAGATGAATTCAAATTAAAGCAGGTGCAGAGAGGGGATATTACGATGAAAAAGCAGTAGGGATTCTGTTTCACATGAGGAAATCAGAAAAGCGTGGCTTGTTCTGCTTAACAAAAGTTGAGAGCAAATGTTATTGTTCTCAGTTAATATGTTGCAGAATAAAATTTATTTTAGGCAAATAACAAGCCGAAGAAACACAAGTACTCAAGGACACAAATAGATCACAAGTAAATTTAGCTGGAAGTTCAAGGTACTTTTAAAATATTAATATACTTTAAGCAGTCAGGTCTTAAAATTCTCCAAGGATGGTAATTGCACAACCTCTCTGGGCAACCAACTCCAGTTCTTGACTGTCCCCAGAGTGAAAAAGTATTTCCTTCTATCCTAACTCTTCTTCCAACTTAGGCCTGTAGTCTCTCATCCTCCCATAATGCTCTGCTGTGAAGTGGATGGCTCTGTTTCCTTGATAAATCCCTCACAGGTGCTGGCAGGCTGCTCTTAGGCCTCCCTTGAAGCCATCTCTTCTCCAGGCTAGGCAAGACTTGACCCCTCAGCCTCCCCTCACAGGCCAAGTGCTGTGGCCATCAGCCAGCCTGGGGATCTTCTGATGACCTTGCTTCAGTTACTCCATGTCTTTCTTGCGCTGGGTTGCCCAGGGCGCTGTTGGCTGTCTCTGAGCACACTGCTGGCTTGTGCTCAGCTTGTGTCTGCAAGTGTCCCCAGGTCCCTTCCCTGTGCTCATTTCTACCTACACAAAATCTCTTCTGAAGAATTCCATGTCTCCTCTTGAACAACTAAACATGTTTGGAATTAATCAAGTTATGTAAAAAGCATGTATTTAATAGGCACCAAAAAGTCACTGTTGACCCAGCCACAGAACCAGATTAGGATGTGAGGTGAAGTCTTGCCTGAAGTTCCAGAGTAACAGCTCAGGAAATCAGATCTCATTAAAAACTTGTATTTCAGTCACCATCCTGTTGGAATATTAAATCTGCAAGTGGGAGAGAATCCAGGTGTAGCACAAACCGAAGGATTTGCACCACCACCTCTGGAAAGTCAGATTTTTTTTTTCCATCTTCCCTGCATTAGTCCCCACTGTTGGTAAAACAAGGGACTACAGGTAGTGTAAGGCCAACTTTGGAGTTTCCCTGTTGGGACACAGGAGAAATAGCAAGAATTCTGCTTGAAATGGTCCAGGCATTTGTATTAGCTTGAAAGCAGAGAGGATTCAGATTCTGCTCATTCAAGGATAGCAGTGGTGGCTGCTTAAACTAAAGATCACTGGCCAAAAACTGTAAGTGGTGTAATACAGTCTTCCGAAATTCTCAAGGGCAAAGCCATTTCCAGTCACTGCTGTACATAAAAGGTATTAAAATGTTTGAAGTAAAAATAATCCTGTTTTATAAGAATTATATTACTATTAGAGGTATATGGTTTAGGGAGTCAAACTCAGAGAGGTTACTGGACTGGACACACTCAAGAACCCCTTCGAAAATCAATAAGAAACCCAATAGAACGCCCATTTTTACTTTAAAAATGTAGAAACAATTATACAAAATAAAGCTGCTTCATAAACAGTTTCTTGACCACAGAAGGCTAATCTGATGGGAGCTCTACAGAATAGCTCCCTGGATTCTCATTTCTTTCCTTTGGAAATGTATTTTAAATTCAACTTATTGTTAAAACAAGTCACATCATATTTAAAGCAAGCCTTTTCACATATTCTCCTCTTGAAAATGTGTGTCATCAGTATTAGCTTACTTCAGTGTGTAAATTAAATTTAGCAATTCAAACAGCAGTGCGAAGAAATGGGCAGCAC